GTTGGCCTGTGGACTGAAGGATCCCAGGTTTGATTTTGGTCAAGGGCATGTGCTTTGATTGAGGGCACATCCCCAGGGGGAGGTGTGCAAGAGGCAGCTGACTCATGCTTCTCTCTTATCAATGTTTCTAACTCTCTTTCCCTCTCCCTTCCTCTCTGTAAAAAAATCAAAATATATTAAAAAAATATGAAATTTAAAGCAATTCCATTTACAAGTGTATTGAAAGAATGAAATGCCTAGTAATAAAAACAGGAAGTATAGGCATGTACACTAAAAACTGCCATTGTTAAGTTGGTGCAATCCTTATCAAAATCCTAGCTGGGCCAAAATGTCCTGGGTTCGATTCCAGTCAAGGGCATGTACCTTGGTTGAGGGCACAACCCCAGTAGGGGGTGTGCAACAGGCAGCTGATCGATGTTTCTCTCTTATTGATGTTTCTAACTCTATCCCTCTCTCTTCCTCTCTGTAAAAAATCAATAAAATATATTTTTAAAAAAATCCTAGCTGGCTTTTTTTTTTTTTTTTTTTTTTTTAAATAAAAAAACAAATCTAAAATTTTATGGAAATGTAAAAGACCCAGAACAGTCAATCTGGAAAATGAACTACGTTGACGGACTCGTTTGCAACATAACACTTTATATAAAAGCAATCAAAATATTGCTGTACTGGTACAAGGGCAGTCATGAAGATAAATCGAAAAGTACTGAGTTCAGAAATAAGCACATTTGATAACAATTGATTTTTAAGAGTACTAAGCAATTAAATGGAGAAAATATTCTTTTCAAAAAATGGTGCTGGGGCAACTGGACATCCACATAAGAACGTGGAGGCTCTGACTGAGAAGCTCAGTTGTTTAGACCAGCGGGCACCCACCTTTTGGACCTCGCTGACCGTGGTTGGTGACAGCTGGGTGAGAGCATCATCTCTATATGCCAAGATTGCAAGTTTGATTCCCGGTCAGGGCACATAGAAGAATCAACCAATGGATGTATAAATAAGTGGAACAACAAATGGACGTTCTGCCCTCTCTGAAAACCATTAAAAGATTGAAGTTAGACCCCTACCTTATACTGCTAATGAACTCAAAATGGACCAAGGAACTAATGTAAAAGCTAAAACTTCCAGAAGAAAATAGTGTTGGTGTAGAGAAATTGGAACATTCATACATTGCCCCTGGGAATGTGAAACGGTGCAGCCACAGTGGAAAAGTCTGGCAGCTCCTTAGAAAGTTATAGCACGCGGCAGTCCCTTTTCCAGGCAGACACCTGAGAGCAATGAAAACGTGTCCACACAAAAACTTGTGCACACATGTTCACAGAATTATCTATATACATAAAAGCCTACGCAGCCGTCCCACCAGTACCCATGACACACAATGACTCAATGCTATTTTGCCCTTTCCTAAATAAACGCAGGTTAACAGGATTTCTGATCCCAAATGCCCAGTACCTTCCACAACTTCACAGTCAGCTGGGTTCAACCCGCCCTCATCTCAAGTGGAGTCAATGGGCTCCTGTTCCGAGGACCCTTGGCTGCCACAAGAGCTGGGAGATCGGAAGCAACGGAGGAGACTCTGAGCCAGTCCCAGGGGTGAGGGGTTGGATAATCAGATTATCCAGGGCTGAGCTCCTCAGACTGTTTGACCTCAGAATTCTTTATTAAAAGATCCGCCCCCAGTACAAAGGACAACCGCAGGGCTCGGGGCAATAGTGGGCCAGCCGGGACAGAGGCTGCATCTGCAAACCGTTCCCTCCCCCTCTCACCTTCCTCCAGCTTGTGGGTGTCACCAGACACAGCGCCTCCCAGCAGTTCTCTGGGCGCCGGCCTGCTCTGCAGGTCAGGGTTAGGGGTTCCGCCTTCAGGCCTTCCCTCCAGGCCGCAGAGCCTGCGGAGCTGGGCTCCGGGACTCCGGTGAGGGTCTGTCACTGCCTCCCAGCCACAGCAAGGCTCTGCGAAAAACCACGGCTGAAAATGTCGCAGGCAGGTAAACGGTGGTTTGGGCTCCAACTAGGAAACTGTGACTTCTGCCCAACGCCAGGTCCTCTTCTCGCGAGAGAGCATGCGCGTGATAAACAGCATCACTTCCGGTCATGCGCATTGGCCTTCCAGCCCCTCTAGCCTCTATTCCCCCCGAAATCTCTGTGCTCTCTTCCGGCCCAACATCTGTTCTCCTGGTCTTGCTGCCTAGTGAGGCTTCTGCCAGTTCTCGCTCCCAGAATCCATTTCCCATCATGAATCCAAGGCCCGGGGCCTCTGAGACAGGAAGCGGCTTGGCGCTAAGCATCCTGGGAGTCGTCCCTGCGCATATAACAGATCACTGGCTCTGGACTCCTGCTTTTTCAGGGGCCACGTCCCCGGAGCAGCTGGTGAAGAGGTTCTTCTCCTTCCCGGACCTTCAGCTCAGGCCCAGCTCCAGACACCTTCACGGTCCTCTTGAGCCTCTCAGTGTGAACGGGGCTGCCACCGCTTGGGGACCTGGAATTCTCCGAGTATAAAATCCATGGGCAGGAGGGAACCTCTTCAGTCATTTCAGGGGCAGAAACACACTTAGTGTTTGATCAGCACTGTTGGCAAAAGGAGATTCCTGAACTTCCTGTCCCTTGGAGGATTCCCTGCTGAGTCAGGGGATATTTCAGTGGACTTCCTCAGAGCATTGATGACAATTCTTCACCACCCAAGCAATTCTCCTATTTAATTTTAGAGGCATTTTGAGAATAAGATGATGGGAATGCGTTACCTGGGGAGCGGAAATGAGTGTAGGGGTCCTAAGGCCTCTTTCCACGTTGTGCTGTCTCGGCCCCCTTTCAGTCACAGGGGTTGCGTTTTTGCCAACATAACCCTCTTAATTTGCTGAGTCCTCTATGAACCTGACTGGATTAACTCCATCAGACAAGTCACACTCAGATCCCTTTAAGATAAGCCCATTCCTACTTTCGCCTTCTGAAATTTCGGCCTTACAATTTTGGAGGTCAGAAGTCTGGGATGGATGTCACTGGGGTAAAATCAAGCTGTTGGCAGGGTCCCATGCCTTCCAGAGGCTCTAGGGGAGAATCTGCTTCCTTGCCTCTTCCTGCTTCCAGGGGCTGCCTAAATTCCTTGACCTTTGACTGCTTCCAGCTGGTGAGGTTCTGCCTGCAGCCACAGGCCCAACAAGTGCTAACCCCACACTGGCCACTAGATGGTAGCAGAGGGTTTCTACCCATGGCCCCAGGGAGGAAGCACAGAGCTTCGGGCTTCAGCTGATGCAATTCCCCAGGTGGCCACCGGGGGGCGATAGGACCCAGATGCCTTGCCTTAGGTTCCCAGAAGCCAGGATTCTTTTGAATTGTTGGGGTGGGAGGATGGGGAGCAGGATGAGATGGAGATGAAGTGACTCTTGGCAGGCAGTGCAGACTCCTACCGTTATCCAGTACAAAGACCTGTCTTATGTGGGCTGGGCAGAACACAGCTTCTGCTGGTCCTGTCTTGTGGGAATGCTTTCTCCTGCTCCTCTTCTCTATGGTCCTGTGTCTGACAGTGCTGGGCTGGGCTATGGGGCAGGTATTGGACTGCCAGCTGGGGCTGGTTCTTCCCATCTTGTGTCCCAATGGGAAGGCTCCAAGGCAGTCTCAGGGGACCTCTGAAGAGCATGTGGGGGTGCTGGTAGCAACCAGAAGGTGGTCTGGGTAGGAGTTGCTGAGGGAGCAGGGCAGGAAATGGAAAACAGAGAAAAATGTGTTAATATTTCACATGTCCCTTTCAGAGGCACACCTTGGACATCAAACCAGCTTTGCTCCACCACAGCCTCACCACCACCACCACCGGCTAACAGCAGCCACTTATTTTGTGACATCCTCAGTTCTAAGTGCTTAACATAATGATTTCATCTTCATAACAATCTTATGAGGGAGATAACATCTTTATGCCCATTTTACAGATGAATAAACTGAGACCTGAAGAGATTAAGTGACTTGTACAGGTGACATAGTGAGTAGTGCAACTAGAAATGGAACCAAGTCCACTGGCTCTTACCATGCTGCCATGGCTCCTGGCCCATAGATTGGAGGAAAGAGACCACAGTAGGACTGAAGCCATGGGGTGTTCTTGCCCACAAGGTTAATCATCCCTTGCAGCCTGGGGGGAGGGAGGTGTGTGAGCCACCCCCTGCCTTCCCTCTGGCCCTTTGTTAATCCCCATTGCAGAGGCTGGGGATGGCCAAGCAGGACCAGGAAACAGCCTCTGCTTGAAGGTCCATGGCAAGAAGTTTCCAGGGCAAAGTCCTGTCCTCTGGGAGGTGGCGGAGAGAGGGTGGCCTGTTACACTGAGTTGTCTTTGGTGTTGACTCACAGAGAACAGATGCTGGGATGGTAGGGAGCAGGCCCCTGTCCAGCTGGCGTATAACCCTCTGGGGTGCAGGACAAACAGTAGCCTGAAGCAGCCCCAGGGGAGCTGGCCACGTGTGCAGGTGGGGATTTGGACAGCTCTCTCTCTATAGCCACAACAAGAGGACAGGAAACTGGTCAGGATGTTGGAGACCTGACCCACGCTAAACAAGCTGGCATTTGTAGGACACTTGCTGCCATGACAGTGTGGTTCTGAGCCCAGCCAGTGGCCACATGCAGCACTAATGACTGTGTAGATGTGCAATTATCCTCAGAGAAGTTGAGCTTACACTTGGACGTGAACTTGCTTTTGGAAGGCCCTAGGAATTTGGATTTTCCTAAAGGTGAGAGCTGTCCCATTTTAGGGAAATCAGAGAGCTGCTGCATGATCTTCCAGAAACCAACCCCGGGTCCCGTCCTGTTCTCCCCAGTGCTGTGCTCTGAGCCAATGCCCAGCTCTCCAGCCTCATTGCAGCTTAACACACAGTGCCAAGGTGGGCGCACACCAGGGCTGCCCACCTGGGAAGTCAGTACAGCAGGGTACGGAAAGGGAAGCAAACACACAGAGGTTCTCAGAGGGCTGGGTTATGGGACAGGAAACTGCCCTCCTCAACTGTGGCTCACAGAGGCGCCGGGAGCTGACTTTCTGAGTCAAGTCTTTATTTGGCAAACAAATGCCCTCCTGGGAGGCCATGGGCGGCCACCCAGCCTCCAGAGGCACCTCCTGCAGAAGGTGAGGATCCAAGCGTCCCCCTCCTCCACTGTCGCTTCATATCATGACAGGAGAGCACAGAAGGCCTGGCCACAGGCACTGAAGACCCTCCGAGATGTCCCCTCCTCCCGTCTCAGAGCAGCGGTGGGAACTGGGCCCCGGGTCTGGGAACCTCCTGTGCGTGGCTCGTGGGGCTGCAGGGAGCTGAGCAGGAGGGAGGGACCTGGAGGATGAGGCTGCCAGCAGCTGCGGTCCTGGCTCCCGGCTCCCTGACCTGAAGTCACAGATAGGCTCTGTCCCCTCGGAGCCCAATCTCCTGGGAAGGGCTGTCATCGCCCCTCAAAATGGGCTGTGATTTGCTCCAAAGTCTTCCCTTTGGTTTCCGGGACGCAGAACCAAGTGAAAACGACGCTGCTGACGCAGAAGGCGGAGGCGAGCCAGAAAGCTCCGTAGGGCCTGAGCACCTCCTGCAGAGAGAGGGGAAGCACCAGTGACTGAGAAGGCAGCAGCACTCATGCGACCACCTCCTGCGCTGCCCAGGCTGAGCACTGCCCGCGGGATGGGCTCACTGTGACGAAGCGGCTGCCCCAGGTAGAGATGCTACCAGGTGGCAGCTGGCTTCTCTCCCGGGGTCTGACTCCAGGTTGGCCCACACACCTTCCCTCTACACTGGCGTTGGCCCTGTCCTCCGAGGTACTGGAGGGAACGGGTGAGTGAACAGCAGGGGAGCTGGGCAGTGAGCACACAGGCACTCAGGGCCCAGGCGTGGAGGGAAGACAGCAGTTCCCTTTGGGCAGAGCCTGTCCATCCTCCCAGCCCAGAAGCACACGCCCTCCCTCCCCAGCTGTCCCTCCCTGGGGCAGCTGCCTGATGGGCCCGCACCTTGGACAGAACCCTGGGAATCCCGGCCCCAGCCCAGCTTCCTGGCTTTTTCTCCCACCACTGTCCACTGCTGTCCCAGCCCTTATCACAAAGGCGACCCTATCCATCTCATTCCTCCTTTGCTCTCTGGCGCCGTGAACAACCTGGAGGTGGTATGTACCAGGAGACCTGGGGAATGGGGGGGCGGGTGGCAAATGACCTAGCAAATGCTTGTCTGTCTACCCTAACACCATCCCATTGGCTGGGAAGTCCCTTAGGCAGGGCCGGGTCTGTGTCAGGTCTATCCATGAAAAGGTAGCAAAATGTTGAACTGAACTGATGCTCCCATCAACCCTAGAGAAAGGTACGGCACCCTCCTCCATGTCCAGCCCAGGAAGCTGGTTCAGAGGTCAGCAGCACCCAAGGTCCCTGAGCAGGGAGGTGGCCCAGGCAGAGTGGGGGCCCAGACCTGAGGACTCTAAAGCCGGGGTTTCCCCACAGCCCTGCTTCCCGACCTTGGTCAACGTCCAGTGGGGAGGCCTCCCTGCTGTCCTCCACCAAGACAGCCCGAAGGCTCCCGATGGTCCAGCCTGGCTCTCCTCACCCCTGACAGAGACGGCTGATGTCCCCGGAGGGTGGGGCGGCCTGCACACAAGGCCATTCACTGACGCTGAGTCTTTTCTCGAAGAGAACCATCTAAAAGCACTTCTCTGTTGACCGGAACGGGAGGCTGCCAGGGCCTGGACTCACCATGAGGCTGCTGAACTCTTTTGTCACTAGAAAGGCCATGAGCCAGTTGGTGAGGACACAGACGCCGGTGGCCACGCCCTTGGCATGCAGAGGGAAGATCTCAGACATGAGGAGCCAGGGGATGGGCCCCCAGCCCACAGCGAAGCCTGCGGAACAAGACAGGGTGTCAGAACCACAGGGACCAGACCCTGCGGCTCCCTGCAGACCGGGGGCTGAAGTCTGGCCTGGATGCCAGGCTGGGCTCTCCCTCTGTCTTCCTGTTGGGAGGTGGCAGGCCAGGCCTTCTGCTTCTTACACGCGGGGGGACTGAGAGGAGAGGAGGGCCAGCTGGGTGCTGGGCCCGTGGCCAGAGCTATAAACGCAGACTGGGACCTCTATGGACAGGTGGGCCAGGTAGGCCTGGACCTGCTGGGAGCCATCGGAATGCAGCAGTGACAGGGCGAACCCTACCCCACCTCCCCACAGGCCCCTCTCACCAGCAATGAAGAGGCACATGCTGCCCACCGCCAGCCAGGCCAGCCCTACACTGGGGTCGGCAGGCTCCATGGAGACAGGTGCCAGGAGGTCGGCATGTGAGGAGTTGCTGGGGCTGCCCTGCATCAGCTTGAAGTAGGCGCCGAAGGCACTGGTGCTGAACACCATGACCACACCTGCGGGGGGAGGGGGGGGCGCGCTGCTGGGGCATGAGGCTCCCAGGGCAGGAGTCTCAGCCCAGCGTGGCCACAGCCAAGTGGCCTGGACACCTCGGAGGGGGGCAGCGAGCAGTACCCCCTGAGCACGCAGTGCAGCTCCCAAGCCTCCCAACGGCCCTGCTACCCCCATTCAGAGGGAAACTGAGGTTCGGAGAGGTCAAGTCACTTGCTCCAAAGCCCATGAGCTTCCAAGCACTTCCCCTCCAGGGCCCTCCGTCTCCTCACTGTCAGCTGGGCCCAATGGCACCTTCCTGGCAGGTTCATGGCAAAGGTTACTGTGAGGTGGTGACGCCGTGAGCGCAGGCCCGGCCTGCAGTGAGGGCTCCCGTTAAATCTCAGCCTTGTTCTCAGGGACACTTGTCCTCCTCCTCCCACCTCATGGTGGCCTTGACAGAGACCCTCCAACCTGCAGTGGGGAGCCTGGCCGGGGTCACCCATTCGCACAGGCTGAGCACGTGGGCCTCACCTGACAAGGCCAGGAGCAGCCTGCGCCCAGCTCTGTCCATGACGAGGGCGGCTGCGGCCGTGAACAGCACCTGGATGGCGCCCACGATGACGGAGGCCAGGCTGCTGTCCTAGGGAGATGGGCACAGGCGGGTCAGGTAGAGGCCCGGGGACAAGGCCACACCCAAGTGGCATCGGCATGAGGCAGAGGCCTCTAACCTTGAACTTGGCCTCCTCAAAGATAGTCTCGGCATAGAACATGACGGCGTTGATCCCCGACAGCTGCTGGAAGACCATGAGGAAGGTGCCGATGGCGAAGGGCTTGTAGATGCCGGGCCGCCTCAGCTGGGCCAGCTGGAAGCCCTGCTGGTCAGAGGGGGCGTCAGTGCTGCTCTGCTGGGAGGGCGGGAGCCTCCGTTTCTGCTGGGTCCGCAGACCGGTCTGCGCCACTACAGCCTCCCCGTTTGTAAGCGGAAGGCCCTCACTGTGCATCCCTTCCTGATTGGTTCCGGGGTGGGTGGGGGGCACAAAGAGAGCACATGGGCCAAGGGCCAGGGGCTCCAGAATCCCACCGGCCTCAGGCCTGGGCCCAACTCCTCACCACCTCCCGGCCCCGCGGCAGCACGTGCTGCCTCCTGTTTACATGAGGAAACTACGGCTTGGCGGCGGGACAGTCACCCAGCAGGTAAGTGGCAGAGACTCAATTTTCAACCCGTCCCCTGCCCCCCATAAAAAACCAAGTCCCAAGTCCGCCCTGAGGGTGCCCGGCCCCGGCCAGGCCTTTCTCTTCAGGCTTTCCCAGTGACCTTCAAGGCTTGGGCCCTCCAAGGAGCGGGGCTCTGCTTGCTGGCACACAGGACAACAGAGTGAGTGTTTGTGTGCGTGCACTTACATCCTTGGGCGCGGCTCCCTGGCCCCTCCCCCAGCCCCTCACCTGGTGCTCAGCCCCGACAGGGGGCTCTTCCCAGTCCTGCTCAGCGCCCCACAGGAAGTGCACAGCAGCCAGGGCCTCCTGGCGCTTGTGCTGAGTGAGCAGGAAGCGCGGGGTCTCGGGCATGCAGCACATGAGCAGCAGCATGAAGGAGGGGGGCACACAGCCCAGCACGGCCAGCCAGCGCCACTCCAGGATCCTGCCTGGATGGGGACAGATGTCAGAGCCTGAGGGAGCCGGCCCCTCACCAACCCACGGGCTCAGCTTAAAGGGTGGGGACCGACCGACCGACCTCTGCAGTCTGCCACTGCCACTGGTTACTGTCGAAATGCAGACGTGAGACGGGCACTTTGTTATCTACTTCGGCTCGTGAACACGTACGAAGCCATTATACAGAGAATGAGGCCTGGCTCTGTCACGATGGCGAGGCCATGGCCGTGTGTGTAACCGTTTGGGGGGAAAACTGGGCACAGCGCTGAGTCCTCGTGCAGACCCGCTGGGAGGCCACCAGAGGCAGGCCAGGCTGGCTCGCCTGGAGCCGCAGCAGCACAGGGTGGGGGACCTTTCCCTGAACACCAGCGCATCGGAGGTCCTGGGAACTGGCGATCATGTGACCCCATGTCTGCTCCACATTCAATGTGTGCACACAGGGCTTTGGCACAAGACTGCTGCCAGGACTCTGAGTTAGTCAGGATGGTAAGTGGGCGAAAAGAAAGACCACGGGCCTGCCAATCACAGGGCACAGGCCATGCCCCCCACACCCATCAGGCCCAAAAGCTCCAGCTCCCTGCCCTCACCATGCTTTCCGGCCACCCCTAGGCATTCTCCCTGGGCGCCTGCTGCCAGGCACTCTCGTGTCATTTCATTAAGCCCTCAGCAGCCTTGGACGAGGCGGGCTTTCTCCACTTACAGACAGGGAAAGCCCAGCTCCTGGAGGCTGAGCAGGCCCAGGCCGTGCAGCAGTGAGGGGCGGAGGTCCTCCCTGTTGGGGACTGCCAGGTAGGAGCCCTGCCTCTCTACCCCGTTCCAGTGCAAGCATGCTGTCTCTGATGCTAGCCCCGCTCTGGCCCTCAGGGTCCCCGGAACCCGCCTCCTTCATGCTGCAAATCCAGTACTGATGTTTCTGAGGGAGACGCGCTTGGGCCCAAGCGCCTAGGCTGGAGATTTTTGGGGTGCCCGGCTTCCCCTTGAATCCTGTCTGTCACTGCACAGAGGTACTGACCTAAGCAGCCAGCTCTCCCAGACCCTGGGGATGGGCTTCTGCTTAGGGGGATGAGCACGCCTTCGTCAGCTCTCCCGGAACCAAGTCACACCCCACGCTTCCGGGCCTCAGGGAGGGGGTCTGGCTACCCAGCACCTCGGGCTCTGGCTGTGTAACCTCAGGCAACTCCTGTGACTTCTCCTGAACTTGAGCTTCCGTGGCTTTAAGGTGGCCAAGTGGCCACGAACAGGGATCCAAAGAGAAGACGTGAGAGCTCTTACCTGCCAGGTAGGCCAGGAGGATGCCCGAGACGACCATCAGCTGCACACAGGAGCCCAGCAGCCCGCGCACTTCCGGGTAGGCGATCTCGGAGATGTAGACCTGTGAGCAGTTCAGGGGAGAGCTACAGGCCCTGTGGGCACCTCACTGCAAGTCAGTGAGCCTTCCTGAAGTCCTCCGGGAGCTGGACTCACCCTGTCTTTAGTCAGAGCCTTCCTCAGACCTCCGCTCCCACCCCTGGTCTGCACAGGTACTTAAAGGGGTGAGGCTATCTATGTGGCTGCTGTGTGTAGGGTGATGGCTGGGTGGGCACAGAGCTCTGCACACTTTCCTTTAATTGTATCATTGCCCTTGATAACCCGCAGGCTGGTGCCTAGGTGTGGGTGGGGCCTGAGACTCTGCCTTTCTAGCTAGCTCCAGGTGCACGCTGCTGGCGTGGAGCCCTTGGAGTCAGAGCAGGAACCCTTCACCTGAGTGGTGATCAGTGACTGTGCTCAGAGGCCAGAGGCCTCACCCTTACCGCTGGGTTACTCCAGGCCTGTGCCCACAGCTTACGTGTGGTTTTGCCCAGTAAAAAGCCCCACACATAAAATCCAACCCAGCTGCCCAGCAAACCCAGGTGACATGAGCGGCAGGTGCCAAGGGATGGCCAGGAGAAACCCAAGCCCCTGCTTTCATTCTCCATCAGGTTGCGGTGTGGGTGGCGGATCATCCCAGCCCATGGCCAGCGGCAGTTCCCTGGTCACCAGCAATCCCAGCCGCAGGGTCAGAGTCCTTCATAAGCTGGTGTGCCGCCTCTCTGATTCCTCGCTCACTGCATGGGGTGACCTGCCATTCTCACTTACGGGGGGGGGTGGGGGGGGCACGACGACTGAGGCCCAGAGAGGAGCTCTGCGCCCAGGACTGGCAGAGCCGGATGCCAGCGTGGCTGTGCTGGGTGAGGAGCTGACAGGGAAGCAGGGAAGCCCGGGAGCCCTGGGTGTGAGCGGCAGGTGGCAGCAGCCTTTGCCCCGGGACAAACGGGGCGGGAGTTTCCTGCTGACTGACCTCAGTGGTCTGAGTGACCAAGGGGGATCCAAGCCATACTGTGAGGCTCCTGTTGACCCTTCACAGATGCCATCTTATTTGTAGAGCAAAAGGGAGGCCAAGTTAAGTGGCACAATCCTGGGTAATCACTTCGCCACGGACTAGTTGCGTCTGGACAAAGGACTTGACTTTGGGAAACTTACTTCCTCTGCAAACTGGGGCCCAGTGCAGGGTAAGGGAGATAACGAAGATAAGGGCCACCCAGGAGGCCCGGAGGAAGCACGGCCCTAGGTCTGTCTGCTCCTTCTCCTCCGTCCCCGGGCGGGGGGCTGGGGGGCACTCACCGGGGCCACTAGCGAGGCCACGCCGCAGGCCAGGCCGGTGAGGAGGCGGCCCCCGAGCAGCATCCACACTTCTTGGGCGGCGGTGATGACGGCAAAGCCGGCCACGAAGGGGACCGTGCAGATCAGGAGGCTCAGCTTGCGCCCGGCGCGGTCCAGCAGCCAGCCTCCCAGCACGCCCCCCGCCGCCGCGCCCAGGGTCACGATGGCCTGGGGGGAAGGGGGGTCGCCAGCTGAGGAGGGGGCGCCCGGGGGTCGCGGCCCAATCTCACCCTCCATCCCCATCCACCCCAGCGGCCTCCGAGGGGAGGGACTGGGTGACCGCTGGCAGGGGAACAGGGTCGGAATCGGCGGAGGGTCTCAGGGTCCGCCCCGAGCAGGGCAGGGGAGGGTCCCATCGCGCGTCCCGGGGGCGGGCGTGGAGGGTCCCAGCCCGCGGCCTCACCCCGAACCACGAGGCGGCGGCGTCGCTGAGGCGGGGGGCCGGGGGCGCGGCGCGGCGCAGGCTCGGGATGGCCGGGGAGCTGTATCCGAGCGCGAAGCCGAAGCTGAGCGGGCCCAGGGCAGCGGCGAAGGCGGCGAGGAAGACGCGGCGGCCGCGGGGGACGCTGCGGGGATGGGCGGTCGGTGAGCGCGCCGGCTCGGGCGCAGCGAGAGGGGCGAGGCCCCGCCCCAGGCCCGGTTCCCCCGCCCGCCCACCTGCCCCCCGGCGGCCGCAGGAGCGGCTGGGTTTCCTCCTGGTCCTCAGGCGTCATGTCCGCGGGCGGCCAGCGCCGGCAGGTCCTGGGCAGCACCGGCCTCTCCCGGCAGAGCCGGCCACGGGGCCTCCTGGGAGGCCCTGGGCGGCCGCGGGCGTGGGTGTGAGAGCAGCCAATGGGAACGCAAGACACGGTAGCGTCGACGTTGGAATCCGCCCTACAGATCAGAGCAGACCAATGGGAGCAGAGCTACGGTAGGCGGAGCGCTCTGGAACCGCCCCCAGGGCAGAGCTATCCAATGTATAGGAGGGGCGGGGTTCGTCATCCAATAGGAAGGCGGTGCGGGCCAGGCGGGGTCAAGGAGCTGCCCCACCCCCAGGACTTCCAGACCCTCGCCGGGCTGTAGCCCTAGGCTTGCCGCCCTAGTCAGGTCTGCAGTCTCCTTGTGGGCAGCCTGGCCCAGCTCTGCCCACTAAGAGCTGCGGGGCTGGAGTTTCCTAATGACTGTCGCGTGTCACTCTCTCCCAGACTCTGAGACTGGTCCCGCGGGGCTGCAGGGGGCGGAGGCGTGGCCCTGCGCGCCCGCCACCTGCGAGTCACCAGTTGCTGAGGCTGCAGAGCCCACTACCGCTACGACTAGGACCTCGGGGTGCTGGGGATCCGTGTTGGGCGGGGCCCGCATGCCGCCTGTATGATTGATCATGGCGTAAGCGGTGAGCTTCATGCTCCCTGTTAAGTGCCACTCACTTCAAGGTAAACCTGACTTGAATATTCATCCAAATACCTCGCATCTTGTTGGGCGGTGTGGCTCAGGGGTTGAGCGTGAACCAGGAGGTCACGGTTCAATTCCCGGTCAAGGCACCTTCCCCGGGGTTGTGCCTTGACCTAGCTTCTCATCTTTCTCTGGGCCTGTGTTTCCTCATCTCTAACGGAGACTGGATCTGTCTTCCAAGAGTGTTGTGAGCAGGGGCAATGTTCATAGACACCAAGCACACGTGTGGAAGCACTGCAGTGCTAGCCAGTGTGGTCATGGTAGCTGCTTGCTCTGCAGTCATCTGACTGTAACGTAAGGACAGGCAACTTCCCCTCTGTGCTCACGCGGCATCTTGTGCTTGAGCTATAAACTCTTATCACAGCACTTCTTACTGTTTTGTGATCATCCCACCCCAATGCACATGATCGACTGCAGATGTCTGCAGACAGCACCAGGTGTTTGCAGAGTGGATGGATGACTCACACTCCATGGGCAAACTGCTCCCACAGTTTATTTTGTAACTCAGCTGGTGGGGTGTGTGGACAGACTTTTGCAGACAGGATACTCCAGTGAGTCCAGCTAGGCCAGCTCTGAGCCTGCAGAGCGGCTCCTGCCCCCTGGCTGTGGTCTTCCTCCCGTGAGTGTTCAGTTCTTGACCACGAAGCAGATATTGCTGCCACAGCAGCCTCCTGCCCCCTTTATAGCAAAGCACCATCCACCTGATGAGTAGGGTCCAATTCTTGCCCTTTCTACACTCATTCCTCAGATTTGTGACTTGAGTCAAGTCATGGGGTGACTCTAATACTGCCCAATCTTTTGGAAAAATGGTCTAGAAAGCCCTTGGTTTTTCTATTCTAGGCTGAGAAGCAAGAACCATCTGGGGGGTCCTAACCGGTTTGGCTCAGTGGATAGAGCGTTGGCCTGTGGACTGAAGGGTCCCGGATTCGATTCCGGTCAAGGGCATGTACCTTGGTTTCGGCACATCCCCAGTAGAGGGTGTGGAGGATGTAGTTGATTGATCTCATCGATGTTTCTAACTCTCTATCCCTCTCCCTTTCTCTCTGTAAAAAATCAATAAAATATATATTTTAAAAAAAGAACCATCAGCGGGAAAAATTACAAGGAAAACACCCATATGAGCGCGTAAAGCTCACAGATGAGCTTAACATGAACACCACCAGCCTGGTCCAACTGACACCATTGCTCACCTGGCTCTGTGCGGCATGCAGGGGAGAGAGCCCAGCTCTGGGCCAGAGAACTCACACGTTCAAATCATTGCTCCTTTATGAGCCTATTGTTTTCTTATTTGAAAAGCAAACAATAATAAAACCTTATTCAAACTTTTGGTGAGGTCGAGATACAGGATGTAGCGACTTTGTGTTTCCCGTATGTGACAAGGGCATAACAAAACGCAAAGGAAGGACGGGCATGCTGAACGCTGCAGAGTCCACAAGAAGACACGTTTGGTTGTAAGCGCCCCACATGCTTAAAAAGCACCATCTTTACTTCGTTACTAATTTATTTCCTGACCCTGGCCTCCTGCCTTCTGCCGAAGGGACCCAGGCGGCCTTCAGCTTTGCATTTGCCATCGTGTTGAACCATGTGTGCAGCAGGCAGGGAGGGAAGCCGCGTGCAAGGCCCATGAAGAGGCAGGTCATGATCACGGTCAGATCAAGGTCACGTCACACAGCTCTCTGCACTTAACAAGGGAGGTGATTTCAAGTGTCTTTTGATGTTTGATGGGTAGTACAGGCGAGAAGAGAGCTACTAAAACGGATTTGTCCGACGAATGCCAGAGGCCAATTACCTTCTTCACGCATTAAACTTTTACAATGTCAGGGGTACTAGGTTCCCCCTTTGAACTGTCCTGGCTGGAGGCTCACATTTCCCTGTATCATTTGCACCCAGATTCTCTTCTCGCTTGGAGGAGGGAACGGGAAGGCAGATAAGTAACAAGAGGACAATCATTCGGTCCACGTGAAAGAGCACAGCGGACCCGAGTGAGAGGAAGGCACTTGAGAATGCTAGTTTTGATAACTGTCCTCTGGTTATATCATTTCAGAGGAACAATACACCCAAACAAAATCATCTTGAGACTCTTCAGCTTCTCCCTATATCTTATTCTTTTTCATGAGACAAAAGGAAAAGATGCAGGCGCTTCTGAGACCTAACCATTCAGCTCTTCTCAGGAGTCCAAGGGCAGGTGGGACTGGTGCCAGCCACAGGGGCCTGCGACAGTAATTGGCCAAAGGAGCAGAAAGAAAACTTACTTAAAATACATCTAAAAGGCAATGGCTTTTCTTTAGAAAAGAAACACGTTATAGGACATAAAACGAATGAAAAAAGTAATTTTCCCACCTAAGTCTATAAAATAGAAGAGAAGGCTGCCATAAGAAAGAGTGAACATTTTTCGATTTATTCAAAGTTTTAATCTAAAACCTCAATGAAATCTACCATGTGTATTACAAGGGGACTGATGCTTCCTGCACAGGAAGAAACCAAAGTCGAGAGAGACGGCACTGGGCACTAGAGACCGACCCGGACTGGCGAGTGGCAGAGGTTTGGTCCATAGATCAGGGACAGGCTAGACCCCGCGCTGTGTTGGGAAATGATGTCAGAACTGGTGAAAGTATAAACCTCCCTAAGAAAACGAAAGGTGGAAAACTCGACTTGGACTCTGTTTACTTTAAGTCAATGATGTCTTCATCCGAGGAGGCCGTGAGTGGGAAGGGGCTGCTGCCCCTGACAGGGCTGCCTCCTCCGTCTTCCCCAGGGTCCTGGTCGGAGCCCGGCGGGGCGCACTGCCCCTCGGGATTGGCTTCGGCGGGAGAAGGACTTTCCAAGGAGCCCGATGTGATCCTGGAAGAGAAGAGTCGCTGGAAAAGGATCACTGCGAAGACCACTGAAGAGCCTGGTGTCTGGCAGTTTCCAGCTCCTAGGCCTGTCTTTCCCCACCCAAGGGGGAGTGGTGGGGACATGCAGGAGTCACCCACCACCCCAACAGAGCTTGGGGCCTGCAGTCCGGCTGCCCTACCTCCTGGACTGGTGGGAGCTGCAAAGGCCAGTGGTGACAGACACCTCGGGGGTGCTTGTGAGGCACTCTGTCTGATTTAGTGCCCACATGATGCCGTCACTCTGCCTCAGACCCTCCCGTGGCTCCCTGGCCTGAGGCTAAGGCTGAAAGTCCCACCCACAGGGCCACAGGCCCTGCCCTGCTGACCCCTCCAGCCCCTCCCAGCCTTCTCTGTGTCTCCATGTCTCTCTTGCTCAGCTCAGTGCTACTTCCTCAAAGAAGCCTTCCTCCTACCCCCCCAAAGTAGACCTATCCACCCCACACCCCCTCACTTATCTCTTTTTTAAAATTCCTATGGCAACCCACTCTCTGCATCCCCTGCCACCCATGGGTGCTGTCCGTCTAAGTTATTCTCGGTGGCCTTCCCCATAGGCCTGCGAAGCCCCTGCCGCCCATCTCCGTGTCCCCACACCAGCTGGGTGCCAGGCCCTCCATGGATGTGTGTGGAAGGAGTCATGGAGCACGCATGGTGTCGAGTGTGGGACACAGAGGATCTTGGGGGACAAGCCAGTGGGTTCGACAAGCAGTCGCTGGCTGTGACACTGCGCTGCCAGCAGAGCGGGCGGCTGTTCCGCTCCCACTACAAGCATCGCAGGCGCGCCTTTTCCCGTTACCCCTGCGAGCCTTTTTGTTTAAAAAGATTATGTCAATAAATATGGAGAGCAAATCATAAACATGCCTGACGGTCTTTTAATGAGCATTTGTCAGATTGCTGGTGGGGTTGCCCATCTGTCAGGACGCCCCCCGGCAGGCTGTGCTCTCTGGGGAGCCTCCAGGAGCTCCCCTGCGGTGGGTCAGGGGCGCCCACAGCGTCCCCGCCAGCAGACGGGCCTCCTGCCCGCAGGGGCTGCGACTGGAAGGTCCCCCCCTGCCCCCAGCAGGGCTCGTTCTTTACCTGTCGCTGCTCGCTGACCTCACCATCCCCGGTGTGGAAGCTCCGCGGCTGTCCTCAGACTGCTTCCGGGCCTTTGATTTAGGCTTCGGTGCTGCTTCTGGCCTGGGGCTACCGTCATCAGAGAGGCCTGGATTGCGGGGGAGAACCAGAGGTCAGAGGACAACACCACAGAGCTGCCCTTCTTCTTGGTTGGGAATTGGTGCATTATTGGGATAGTCAGGAAGAAGATACAGGACATATTTTTATTTATTTAATATATATATATTTTTTTAATTGCAGAGAGGAAGGGGGAGGGGGAGAGAGATAGAAACATCAAAGATGAGAGAGAATCATTGATTGGCTGCCTCCTGCACCCTTAAACTGGGAATTGAGCCTGCAACCTGAGCATGTGCCCTGACTGGAAATCAAACCACGACCTCCTGGTTCATAGGTTGATGAGCAACACAGGCT